TCTTGGGTGCAGTTTTGCGTAAAATTATTCACAGTTTTTAACAAATTAAATATGTTTTCGCTCCTCGTGATCTATTTTCCCCTTGGCTGCCCTAGTTCGGGAATTCGTGTTCGGACTCGTCCTCCTGCCCAATGTTCGATCTCCGACTCAGACCCCACGAATTCGCCGAATTCCGAATCTCGACTTGACTTCGCCCATGCTTACTACATATGTACTGACTGAAGTCGTTGTCTTTAGGCCATTCCCGAAGGGGGGATAATTAACATGTTCCTACAAAGAGTCTACAGTCTACAGGTTCTTATGCACAGTAGAATTGTAAATGGGCTGATTTATCAATGTCATGCTCATACTCTGCCGGAACAACATTAGGGGAACTGCTGCTTTTTCTTTGCTCATCCTTACTATCGTCATTTGTCCTCTACTTTTTTTGTGTTTGTCACTCTCGTATGAGCTGCTATTTCCGGGTTGCCTTGATACTTGATAGTCGAAGCAGACTCTGTGCTGTTGAGGTTAGGCTAGGGAGGCGAGCAGAGTAAGCCTGATACAGTGTATTATTTCCCCATTTGGACTTATCAGTTCACATCCACCCCTTGGCGCTCATATGAGCTTATGCAGTTGCGAGCGCCGTAAAACAACCTTACTATAAAAAATATAAAAAATGCCAGTGATTGGTCATCAAAGTTGACCACTCTATCTTTGCTCGAACCAACCCAGGGGTCGCGTCAGTTCAATGTTTTGATAATGAGTAATGAGCCTTAACATAGATAATTGAAAATAATATATATTCTTCCATTGGTGCGTCGGCTAAGATCCCACATTTTCCTTGCTCCCGAGCACCAGGATCTTAGGCGGAGACTAATACATGTACCGTGCCCCTACTAGATCTATAGTGCTGTCAAAAATTCGTGACATATATCTCCCCAACCATCGAACATAAACTCTCCAGCTTTTGCACAATGACTTGAATCAATTTGTCAAAATTATAAAATAGATCAATATTTCCGTAAACACTTGTTAGCTCTAGATCTAGATCTATATGTTCTGGAGAATTTCTTTAATAAAAATAATATATATGTACTACATGTAATTTAAAAAAAAATCCCATAGTGTTTAGTAAATCCAAAGAGTCTACATAACGTTATTTACTATCTTTGTAAATCTATGGAAAAAAATTACAGCTGGGACAGTATCGCTTTTACTTTTAAAAGCAAGCCCGTCATTTTTTTTTCAAATCGCGATGTTATGCAATTTGGACGTATTATAATTATTTTGAGAATCTCTAGTGAAAAAAAAATGTGTTCACTATAAACTATAAAATAACGTATTCTTGTAACAAGTTTTGCCATTAAAAAGTGCCACTGGTGAGGTATGACGTAGGCCATTTGCATACAAAAAATTAAATTATAATGTGTGTGAGACACTGGAAGTTTGGAAGTGCTGTGAACAATTTCAATTATCCGCGTGACGGAGATTTATAGTATTTTATGAAGAAAAGTTTTTAAAAGCTAGCCTTGTAGTGGAAAAAAATATGACACAGTGAGTTAAGACAAACTTTATACAAACCGCTAGGCAAATTTTGAGTGGTATATTGATTCAATGGTTTAAAAGATATTTGATGATAAGTTGCGCGGCGAATCTTTAACCGCGCTACCAGAAGTAGGGCTCATGTTAAGAACGAAAAAATGTGGGAATGCTGAGGAAAGATGCAAATTTCTGACTGTGTATTTATTGGATCTTTCTAAATCTAACCCAAGAGGCCCTTGGGCCTAGTGTTGAGACAACAATTATGATTATGACACAGAAAAGTTTAAAATATTATTATCATTGGGCTATATGTCATCTATTGAAAAAGTTTTTAAAAACTGTAGAAACCTGTGTAATATCAATATCATATCAGATCGTAGACTTGTAAAAAAAAAAAAGAAAACGTTGATTTCAAGCAAAGATCTTATGTAATTGATGTACATATTATACAATGTACGTGTAGGCCAAATAATTTATCTCTCTGGGCCTAATCAAAGATTATAACTATGTAATTAAATATCGCGGTGCAAAAAAAAAATCGATATTGGCAAAGTAATCGGATATGTGCATGGACCGATATCCCGTAGAAACGATAGCAAACACTCATTCCGTGCGTTCCTGCTTTGATGAAAATGGCAGCCTCCTGCCTAGCTGTAGCAGTAAACAAACCCCATATCTCAATGACACCATCGCAGTTATTGTTTATCATTGTTCTGCTAGTTGGCACCACGAATTTGTCAACAGCCTCAAGTCCTTTGAAGCACTTTTCTACTAAAACACCCTACGCATGGATAACTTCTTCAAAAACCACAGAACTTGTCGACGACGAAATGTATCATTTGACTGATGTTGAAGGGCTGAGTTGTTCGGCTGTTCATGCAAATGCAGTTATTCGCCATGGGTCTAGATTTCCAGGCTTGGATGATGTGCTTGAAATTTCAAACGTACACGAAAAGCTTGTGGTTGCTATGGAGCCAGATGTTAATCCGGAGTTATATAACTGGGTTAACAATTTTCCCAGCAACAACAACAAGGCTCTGTCAAGTCTCGGGGAGGAAGAGCAGGAAGCTTTGGGGAGTCGGTTGGCCAAAAAACTCCATACTCTATTCTCTGATGAAGATTTTTCGAATTTCAAATTCATGGTGTCAAGTGCTGAACGTACGAAACAAAGTGCCAGTGCATTTTTTGAGGGATTGTCCACTGTTGTCCAAGGAGAAGAAGATGATGCTGATGATTTTGATGTGGAAGTTAATGATGAATTACTAAGGTTCTTTGACTTGTGTAAAAAATATGTTTATTCTGTTGGAAATAATAAAACGGCAATGAAGGAGTATACTACATTTATGAACAGCCATCAGGTTGTTAAAATAAAGGACAAAATGTCTGAAAAGCTGGGAATAAGCAAAGATATTTTGACAACAGGTAGCCCTTGATTTTGATCTGTTTAGCCTTATAATTTTATCATTGATATTTGTTAACTTTTCTACTACTGTATTTTATCTGCAGCCTTGATGGATTATACAGCAGCCACCTCTATTCTCACCCGGAGTGAGAATAGTGCAGGCGAGTCTTGTGGCTATTCTCACCCGGTGCGCGTTCACCAAATTTTGCGTTCACCCTAAACCACAGAATTCTACACTGTGATAACAGAAAAATTGTAGAATTCTGTGCCGTGAACAAACGTTCCATTACAATTGTAGCCTACTAAAAGCGTACAATTTTGTCTGTAGACAGTAGAGAGAGAGAGAGAAAGAGAGAGAGGAGTAGCGCGAGAATTTCCGGGCAAAACAAAATGGCGACCCGCGTAATTCGGCTCGATTCGAAAAGTTAAATAGCCGTAGCATCTTTGTAGACAACCAAATTAATTTACTTTTGTGTTTTAACATCATTTTTTAACTTTGTTTTGGTCAATTTGATCGTCCACACCGATAGACAGTATTCAGAAAGAGACGGAGAGAGAGAAAGAGAAGAGGGGAGGAGTTGATCTTGCGAGAACTTCCGGGCGGGTGAGAATAGCCACTTTCTTATACAGCAGTGAAAGAGTAGACTGCATTAAATTTTGTGGGTGGTTGGCGGGTGCTCTGGTGTGGTTTGCTTCTTCTTTTGGGCTATGAAACACTTATTCCTATTATCATCCTTACCGCCCCTTCTTTTTTTTTTTTATAGTTGTTACTCTCTTAGACCTCTAATCTTCTGGCACTCATATGACCTTTTATCAGTTCCGAGCGCCGTAAAACTTCTACAAAAACTTAACTAAGACTGCATTTTTTAACTGGCCTTCAAGTCATTATTATATGAAAAGCTGTCAAAGGGAAATTTTGAAGTACATACGAAGTGGCTCTATGTGTATTATATGGCCCTCCCGTATGCGTAGAATTGAGTCATTCAGGCTATGTGTACGGCCCTCCCCATCACATATAATAATAATAAGCTAGGCTTTTTAGGCGGCACATGAACTATCAAACCGGACACTTCAAGTGGACAAACTTTGGAAGCGCGCAGGCCCTATATTTATATACATATATATATATACAGTGGAACTTGGATTCAACGAGGTCGCCGGGCCTGACCTAAAACTTCGTTGAACCCGAGTGTTTGTTATAGCAAACATGAGGTTTTGTTGATTATTACAGGCACTAAGCACATAACGTTTTAAAGAGAAGTAACAAGTAGTGCCTGAAATGCCTGCATATTATGAGCTGTGTAAAAAAATGCCAATTCGTTCAAATGCAGGCCTGTGTCATCTCGATTGTTTGCCAAAAAGTTGTGTTGCTGTGTAGAACCTAGCACACGGCAACTTTTGATTCCAAAGATCAACGCTCAATTCATTACGTAGATCTACGTCAATACTAGCTTATATAATAATGATCAGTTTCTGAGTGACAAAAAAGACTGTGTGACGTGTTTGTATCTTCGACGTTCAACGCCCGGACCGCTGGTGCCCCCCCCTCCCCGACATAGTCACACGTGTGCTGGCCGCCGATCCGACCCCGACACTCGCCAGAGTATACACGTGCGTGTGCCAACAACGCATGTGATGGTATGAATATGAAAAAAGGCAGCTGATTGGTCGCATTCAATCGGCTAAGTGAACAATAGTTCACGATGCAGGTGCAATGGATGGTTTTTGGGAATAGATAAAGTTCGTTCTGGGAGAAAAATAAGCGAAGCCACGTCTGTGGGGGCTGTACCTCTTGAAGCGACCTCGTTGAATCCGAACTTGCTGATTTAAGAGCTTGTTAAATCCAGGTTATTTTTGTTGATTTTAACTGATTCCGTCCATGATTTTTTCAGCCTCTGGACAGATTTATTTTTCCCTGCTCAGTTTTAGACCTGGGGTGCATCTATTGCATTACTATGAAGTTCTAAGTCACTCTAATAGGTATTTGTATACCAAACTGATGGGAATAAATATAAAAATCTGTTTATATCAATAACAATGACCTATAATCTGTTTGTATTACGTTTTCCTTCTGACAAAAACGAATGAGAAAAAAAAATTGCGCAACAGCTCTTCGAAAATTTCGACTTACCGCATTTATTCAGCTCTACAAGTCCTTATAATCCATAGGAATCAACACAACATTGTAGCGATATCACCCTAGCACACATTTATGCAAGAATTTCACAAATTTAGTTGAATATCTTTCTTTGAAGAGCCTTTTTATTGTACCGGGTTCCATGTTGTTTACCCTTAGATCTAGCCTACATCGCAACAACAAAACAACGATTTTTGCAAGAATTTCGCGGAGTTTCGATCGATATTGGCGCTCAGAGATTGAGGTCAGGTTTGTTTACAAGTTCTACTTCCTTTCAACAACTTAAAAAGTAGGAACTATGTTAAAAAGTGCACCTTTGTTTCGGATTTCGTTGAGCCGCTCACAGCGGACGAATGGAGGCAGCGGAAAAACTCAGAGCCGCTGTCAGCGGCCGAATGGACGGAATCAGTTAAAGAAGAAAAAAAACGGGGCATCTATCTCCTCTCGTTGAATCCGAGTTCTCGTTGAATCCGAGTTCTCGTTGAATCCGAGCTCGTTAAATCCGAGTTCCACTGTACATAAAGGGCGTGAGCAGGGCTACCAAAGATTATCTACCCGCATGAATTATCAAACCGGACACTTCAAGTGGACAAACTTTGGAAGCGCGCAGGCCCTATATTTATATATATATAAAGGGCGTGAGCCGAGTTACCAAAGATTATCTAAACGATCTTTGAGGCTATATAAGGCTGACCTACTTCGATCGGGAAGGGCGCAGGCCCTATATAAAGGTATAGATGCTGACCTTTTTCAATGGAAAATTTCAGTATTCCTTTTATATAATTATGGAAAATGACGTAGTAAATTACAGGTCAAAGTTATAAATAGTGACCAATGACTTTGCAAGTGATCTTGACCTCGTAGAGTGTCTCTTAGCTAAAGATCGTACGTAACAAGATAGTTCACTCAGCCAAAAAAGTGTCTGCGGAAGTCCGTGCATTGGTTCAGATGACGCTGCAGTCTTTGATTTGAAGTTCTCTTTCGTTTCTCCAGAAAAAGAAGGAATAGCACAATTTGTTAGTTCCACTTTTATTATTTTTCACACAGCAGTAGGGTAACTCTGATCGCTATATATGTCCGCACTTTTTCAAAGAGGGCGCCACCGAATTTTGAGGACACTTTTTTAATTGGCTCAAATAGAGGAGTGAACTATCTTTTTATAATGTTGTACACGATCTTTGTCTTGGCCAAGATATCGATCGATAAAGTGACGCGGTCCAGCTGAGCGATTATCAAGGCAGTGAGCATACTATACTTAATTAGGCTAGATCTAAATCTGTACTTTAAAGGGTCGTACGTAGGGAGGGCCGTATTCATAGCCGCGAGGCTATGCGTACGGGAGAGCCATTGGCATAGTCACAGCATATGTGTGTATATTAATTACCTTAGGACCAGCAGGAGTAGTATTAAAATGTGTTTTAAAGCTCTAAGAGCCAATTTTCCATCCTATCACATACCTTATTGTCTCTTAACCATCCACCAATAAGTCTGGGTCATCTAGTGCCAACCTGTTCTCATCATAAGAGACACATCTTTGGAAATATGGCGAACAGAAAATAAAAATCCCTGGCCCATAGATATCTATGAAATGCATTGCGTAATGAGCTAAGACTAAGATCTTCATCAGCTACAATCAATTTTTGGAAACCTTCAAAAGAAACCTCAAAGTTCTCATATATTATCTTTTTCAGAAGTATTGCTTTCCTGTCATTGTAAACTGAAGTGATCGATGTTCTTTAGAGCCCGTTAATTTTGATGTACAGTCAAGTACAGATAACTGGAATGGAAAACTCAAAATCAGGGATACCTTCTCATACAATTTGCCATTCTCTGACTGAATATAGTGGTGCTGACAAAATAAGTTCTTTTTAGCAATCCACCAGTAGAGATGTTGGCAGAAAATCGACACGTCAGATAAAAGCTTTTCATCTGGTGCCATTTTCTTTAAAATTAATTTGTCTTTTATTATCATTTCATACTAAGTTGTTAAAACCCAACCTTTGAATTTGACGATATATGTCCATAGGGTAAAAATCTGAGAAGTAACTCATTTTGTCAGCATGCTGTATATCATGTACTTATGTGTACAGCAATGTTTACAATGTGGAAGTGTCTATAATAATATGGCACATCTTTGCCTCGTTTTACCTGTTTGACATACAGACAAGACTGTTTTTGGACTCTTCAGCCTCAAAAACAAGGTTACAGCAGGTCAGGTAAACCTTAAGATAAATGGAACTGACATCAAACATGAGGACTATCCAAAGTACCTTGGTGTACAACTGGACCGAAAGCTGTCTCTCAAAGAGCACTTAGGGGAGCTGACCAAGAAAGCCACCTCCAGACTAAGCCTTCTGAAACACCTTTCATCACTCAACTGGGGAGCTGACAAAGCAACCCTCCGACAACTTTATACATAGGGTATGTCAGATCTGTGATTGACTTCTCCCTACCACTACAATCCATAGCCAGCCAAAGCTCTTTGGCACAGCTTGACAGAGTACAGAACCAAGCACTCAGATTTGTTTCTGGTGCGATGAAGACCATGCGTACTAGCGCATGGGAAATCCACCCCTACATTGAACCACTGGACCTCAGAAGAAAGAGTGCTACACTCAAAAAATACAAAAGATTTGTGCAACTAGAAGACATGAACGAAAACAGAAAAATGGCAGATGAGTGGGAACCAAGAACACGCCTCCAGAAGACTTTTTCATGCGAGAAGCAACAAAACTACTTGAGGAGATTGACCCACCCGAGAACAGAGAACCAATCACCAACATCAGCAGCGAACTCCTTATTGGCAGTCACCAGAAATGACAATAAGGACGAGACTTCTAGACCCTTCTTGTGACAAGGCCACACCAGAAGAAATCCTCAGAACTGGTGCCCTGGAGACAGTGGACTCATATGCTGAAACCCCAATTCATGCATACACAGATGGGCCAGCAACAAACGCTACACGGAATGCTGGATACGGATCCATCATCAAATATTGAAACAACCTTGGAGAGAAGAAGCAGACCCAACTATTTGGTCCATGTGGAACGTACAGCTCCAACTATGACGCGGAGAGAGTTGCCATAGTAAAGACCCTGGAGCAGATCACTCAAGACTTTTTTTGAAGGCGCAGTAACACCAGGGGATGTTGTTGTCTTCTCTGACTCAATTTCAGTACTCCAAGCCGTCGAGGGAGGAGGAGACTACAGAGGTGACGGGAACATTCTCAGCCTTGTAAAACAGATGGGCACTACCTATGGCGTCCTGGTCACACTGCAGTGGGTGCCTGGTCATTCTTGAGTCTCAGGGAATGAGACTGCAGACCAGCTATCAAAGACTGGAGCAAGCCTGCCCCAGACAGACACAGCCGCCTATTTACTGACCTGCAGAGAGATCATCCAAGCCAAAAGCAGAGACGAGTGGCTAAACAGATGGGCCAACGCAGAAACAGGAAGATCTCTCTTCGGGTACATGGACAAACCCAACCCCAAAGACCCATCAAATCTCTTATGTAGAGCTGATCAGACTTTGATCTTCAGAGCGCGCACAGGACATTTACACACCAACAAACACATAAACAGAATTAACCCCATGTGGGAACCCAATTGCAGACTCACTGTGACTACCCCGAGGAGACCTTTGAACATCTCCTTCACTCCCCAAACCTGGCAGTTCTTAGACGCATGCTCCTTCACACACACCTACAGACTTACAAAGCCTGCTCTACTCTGGCGTTGACCAGATGACAAGGACATGTGGGAGGCATTGCGCTGCCAAGAGCGAAATGCTCACAGCTAAAGGATTTGAAAACAACAACAACCTGTTTGACATTATAAATGTTCTACCAACTACTTTTCCCTTTGAATTGAACTTTCCCGTGAGTAAGAACAGTGTAATCGTGACTAATTACAAAAGAGATTACGGCATTGAGTACTGGTAGCTTCAATGCTCCTTTCAAAATGGTAACGTTATTTTAGAGGTGGGACCTTAGATTAAGTATCCATGGCCAATAGGATGGAGCCACTGGGATGCAAGGCATTGAACTTTGACACCCTATAAAAGCTAAGTTCAGCAATGCCCCTTTGAAGTTCTCCATTGAGTCCTTCACCTTGCACTTCATGTTGTGGAGCTGTGTTAGATGCAAAAAGATTTATATATATATGGCATTTTTAGAGTTCTGTCTTTACTTCAGGCTCTAAACTCTATTGTTTTTCTCCACAGCAAATGTTCGACTAATCTATTTGATTTGTGGATATGAGACTGCATCATTTAAGTCCTCCCCATGGTGCTCTTTACTGGATGAAGAGGATATGGTGATCTTGGAATATCTGGGAGACCTCAAAGTAAGTTTTTCTGTTCTTTCTTTCATTTTTTTGGGGTTTGATTTAACTTTACTTTTAGATTTTCATGTAATTTACAGTTGAAAGTAGTTAGCTCTTTCATTATAGTACAAAAATAATTTTAGTTATAAATTTCCTTTTCAGGAAAGATGGTTGGCCCTATATATGATAAATTTTCTCTGAAAATGCTTCTCTGCTGTACAAGTTTATACTAGGTAGGACTGGCTACTGTCATTTTTAAGTTTGACCAGGATGGACTTTATAATGAGTGTATTTACTTTACTTGTATGATGTGGTTACTTTTTTCAGCATTACTACAAAAATGGTTATGGCCATGACATTACTTGGCAGCAGAGCTGCCCTTTGCTGAACGAAATGTTCTACGTCATGGATGAAACTATTGTTGAGATTGAGACTACAGAAGATGATGAAGAAATGGATGGGTAAGTTGCAGAAAAGTATGCTGGTTTTGTTTCATTAAGAAATGAGTAGCTATGAGGTATAAATCTTTGTTGTATATAATATAATTAAAAGGGTGTTTTGAGGAGTAGAAATTTTTGCTCTGGAGTAGAATTCTGCTTCTCTTTTGGTCCAAGATTTAACACTGGGATTCTGTTCTGTAATAATGTAAAGGTGCTGTGATGTCATGATATTTAGATATACATTTTTTAAAGGATGTGCATGCCCTCTGGGATACCGTTTGTCTTGATTGATCATAGAGGTATAAAGCTGCGACACATAGAGTTTGTAAAGTAGAGGCACTTTGCAAAGCAAGAAAATCAAGACTGTCAAATCCTGGCATTGACATTGGCCTTAGAGACCGCAAGTGCTCTGTTTGTGAAAAAAAATTTTCCAAGAGAATATGATGTTTAACATTTTGCCGCCTCATCTCGCCGATTGGCGTTTCTTTGGATTTTCCCCAAAATATGATGGCAAAGTGTTTAAGGTCATAAAGGAAGCCATAAGAAGGTTTAACCAACTAACCATAATATGTTTAGACAGATAAGCACATCATTTATTTTGATAGTTTTTCATCTAATGAATGAACTCCCGATAAAAGAGACCTGTTTTCGGTAATTACCGGAAAGTAATTTGATGTCGAAGTAGTCGTAAAGGAATGTGCCTGAGCCGCTGCGAGCAGCTCACCGGCACAGTGGTTCTCACCGCGAGCCGCTGGGTGTGGATTGCCGGAGATAAAGAATAGGAACGGGAAAGGACCTGACAAAGTTCATTTCTGTTCTGGCCCATCATTTAGAGGTCAGAATAGCATACAGTCCGGCACGGATAACTCAAACATGCTGGGGATTCACAAATGTGTTTGACACATCCATAAAATTCGGGTGAACAGATCAAACGAAACATTCAAGATATTAAAGAAAATCAAGGGAAACAACTGTGGTGGAAATAAATCAATGAAACAGATTTTCTGTAGCAGATATGCTGCACACAGCTTTTTGGGTGATTTCTTTTTATCTCTTTAGAACCCGTCCAACCACCCTGTATTGCATGCAAAGTCAAGGCCAAGTTAATTTGAGATTTTGTCAGCTTTTATCGTCAGAACAGGACTTGTGGGCGCATGTTACCTGATACTCTCGATGATGATGGGTGTGTTGTTTTCCATAGTGTGGGCAGGGAGATTTGAATTCAAGATAACTGTGAGGAAAAACTTGATCAGGGTTTTTGAGATGAGCTGTTCTACAAATCCATTTTGTGTGTTTGAGAAAACAGTGTGTGCGCCTAGAGAAAGGTACCAAAAGTCGCCCCAGACCGTTTCGAGGGACAGGCTGATAATGACAAAAATCACTTTTTTGACCAAAATGTGTTTCCATAAAAAAAAATGACAGATCCACCATTTTTTTACGAATATGTGCTCAAAGGTTTTATTTTGTTGTTTTGACTTTTGAATATTTTATTTTGAATTATTTTGAGGGTAGGGTATAATAAAAACAAATAATGAAAACTGCTTTTAACTCATTCGCTACGTATTATTTTCGGCTTGTCGACAAATTTTTTCGGGAGGGCGAAATGAGATGGTGACTAGTGCGCAGTTCACAGGTCTTTGGGGTCACAAATTCAAATAAAGATCAACATACTGTCCTCAGAGAAAGTTGCATTTGAAAATAGCAAAAGTTGCAAAAAGTTGCAAGAAAAGTTAGAAAAAGTTTCAAGAAAAGTTGCAAGACGTGTATAGAAAACAATGCCACGGAACTATTGGAATACATTGTTGCTATGCTCATTGCAATCAAAATTAACCAATATAAGTTTTGTTAGGTTAAAATCAGAAGTTAAATGTGAATGTCTACCCCCCCCAAAAAAAAAAAAAAAAAAAACTGCATGGAGGTTGCATGGTGTACAAAAACAGTTTGTCCTCTGACACATGCGTTAGGTCCTGACGTTGGGCAAGTGTGACCAGTGTGTTTTTGGGGCTGTTCAAATATAATTTTACACTTTGTTTGGGACTTTTTGCCCCCCCTCCCTTCCTAACACTTTTTTTTACACTAAAGATTCCAGCCCCTACCCCCCCCCCCCCCCCCCCCCCCCCACCTTTTTTTTTCCAGGCGTAAGATGATATTATTTGTGTGGCATCGTTGTGAAATCAGGCGCTTGTCAACATAATGAAATCCGAGAAATCGGCATTTTTTAGCCAGTTTGGAATTTGTTTTTGAATTTTTGTTTTTTTGGATTAACACCTGGCCCGTACATTCAAAAACACTTTTACGTGTGAATTTTAAAAAAAGCGTTTACACATATTAAAGGGACAAAAAAATGTAAATTTGCAGTTTCCAAGGAGTCTAAAGCTATGGAAGTCACCAAACTTTGGCTGCCATTTTCTCGCTAATTTTACTTCTGAAACCAGGCAACCCCACTTTCTTCAATCGCAAATATCTCGACTTCTGTTCAAGATAAATGGACATTCCTTGTTATTGAAAGAAAGGCAAATGAACAACCTTTAATATAACACCAATAACTCCTTATGCCCAAAAATTGACGAGCGCCTGATTCCACGGTGCCGAGACACATCTGAACGTCCCCTTTAAGGGTTTTCTGGATGAATCGTTCCATGTCTAGATATAGCCTCCTGCCTAAGATTTAAAATCTTTCACAAATTTTTATACTAGATCTAGATCTAGAATCTTATATCTACCTGGTGCTACGGAACCAAGCAAGCTAAAAATCAGACGACCGTGTTTACCGGTACGATTAATTTACTCTAGATCTAGATCTAGCTAGATTAGAAGATGATTCAGTCCAAACAAGACTATTGGGTCGGTTTGCTCGCCAGATTGATGGTGCAAAGCAGTTATCGTGGCACGAGTCGATCGCGCCCGACTCGTTGTTTCAAAACAAACATGATGTTTTCAGGCGACGTGTCGGGGGATCATCCCGACCCGACCTAACCCGGCCCGGGGCACTGGTCAGCGGCGAGCACCCGTCCGTAGTGCGAAAGAGCAAATTGTCCCCATTGGCGTCGTTATTTTTAGTTGTGGAAGAAAATTTTGGTGATTTTAATGAAATTTTATTATTATTTTCTCTAATTTTTTTCGGAAAATTGGCTAATATTCGCGATTTCATGAAAATGGTAAAAGTTACGCAAAAGTTGCGCGTGCAACTTGCGGGTTGTGGGCACGAATTTCTCTGAGGACAGTATTATGCACGAAAATTTTCAGTATGGTTTGTAGAATACACCTGTAAAGTTTATTTATGTATTTTTCAACTTTGGTTCCTGTAAGAGGCGATTATTCAACACAATTTTGCTTGGATGCGGATAAAATTTTAAAATATAAAAGTAATAGTCTTTGGTGAAACTCAAAAAACATGTTTGCACCTAGTCAAATGATACATCAAAATAATCATAAATGAATATAGAACAAGAAAATATTCTAACATTTGCAAATATTTATGTACATTCCATAAAGTTTGTATATTTGGATCATAACATCCGATATTGAAAATTAAATTTTTTAAAAAATAATCTTGAAAAAAGGACAAGATGCATTCACAAACGGAAAAAAAGCACTCATATCTTATATGAAATTATTCAGAATTGCATTTGGAATAAACTTATACATGTCTTGAGAGGTACTTTTGTGTAATTTCACCAAAAAGTAGTGATTTCGAGGAGAAAAAAATATTTTGACAATTTAGATCTTGACCTAGATTTAGCACTGAAAAATATTGATTTCTCAATAACAGATCACTTTAAATTTGAGTCCAATAATATTAATATTCTAAATAAGAGTTTTATATTTCTTTAGTCAGCAAAATAATTATACATTTTGTTGTATAAAAGTACTAAGACTGGTGTCTGGGCTATAATTTTGGGCATTGCAATAAAACAAAGTTGCATAAACTTCGAAATCGTAATTAAAAACGGAATCTAAATTTCTGATTTTGGAAACACTTGACCGGGAAGTCAATGTTATATTATAACCTTTATTTTAACATGGATATGTGGATTGGAATAAAATCAAAGCTAGAATTATAAGTCGGTTCTCGAGCCGTCAAGGGCGGCTTGGCGTGCGGTAGACACTTTCACCGTGCCGCTTCCCACGGCTCGGCGTAGCGAATGAGTTAATAGGTGTGAAAAATCTATTCTTGAAGCATGTTTTCTCTTCCCTGCTATGTTTTACCATTGAAATTACAGTCATGATATTGATACCAACTGACTGCCAAATTGGAAATGAATTTTCCAAGAATAAATATACATGTTAAAAATAAAATAAATAAAAAGTTTGTATGTGTTCTCACGTTTGTTAAACTTAAAAGCTCATTTTTTCAAAGTTATATTTTTATACCCTACCTCGCAAAATGTGCAGTATCTCAAAAACTACAAGACCTATCTAGAAAATTTAAAGACCTTTATGTTCAGCATTGAATTTTCTATAAGGTACAACTCTTAACTCAAAATGGTCAAAATCCGACTTTTGATACCTTTTTTTTAGGCACACACACATATAGTGGTTCAGTCGGGAAATGGCATATTGTGACAGCTATCCATGGTTTCAGATTTGCGAGTTCGTGTTATCTGTGCCCAACTGTTGTATGTGTGTTCAAGTTGATTATTTTAAATAATACATTTATTGCATTGTTGTCCTGCTCTTTTACTTCCTGTTTGTGCAGTTTTGAGGATCCCACATATGGGTCTCACTTGTCTCCTACTCACTTCTTTTTCGTCTCCGTTGATGCTATTAAAAAATTTTGTCTTGTTATTTTTTCAGCTTCATAGTGGGGCACTTTGCTTTTGGTCATGCTGAAACTGTGGGCCCTTTGCTCTCAGCTCTTGGTCTTTTCAACGATTCTGAGCCTCTACTCGCAGGAAATTTTGAGCAGCAGGAGAAGAGACTTTTTCGTACTAGTGAGATTTTGCCTTTCTCTTCAAATGTTCTCTTTGTGCTTTATGAATGTGTTCCCGAAGAGTTTGGGGAGGATGAAGAAATTGATGAGGCAGATTATTACTTGAGACTGTTTGTGAATGAAGTACCTGTGAAGATACCAGGATGTGAAGAACTGTCATGTCCTTATAAAACTGTCAGGGGCCTGTACCATTCTTTTGTGGAAGAATGTGACTTTAAGAAGATCTGTAACAGCTCCCATCCTAAAGATGAATTGTGATGGAGGTCAAGACTGTCTAATGGTAAAATTTTTAAAGGATTTTTCTTCCTTGAATTGTTCGCTGTTGTCTTTTTACAGAGTTCAGGTTAGACATTTATTGTTTTCACTTCATTTAAACGAAAAATATATGCGAGGCATTGTGGTGAAATCAGACACTCGTGAAATGAATGAAATCAAAGAAACGGGCATTTTTCTGCATGCACGGTAATTTTTATCGAATTTTCATTTTTTGGTTCAACACTTTTTATGTCTTTGTAAAATCAAATTACTGTGTGGATTTTACTGAAAAACTTTGATTAAAGGCTTAAAAAATGTAAAGTTACAGTTTCCAGGAACTCTCAAGCTTTGGAAGTGAAAGTCACCAAACTTGGGTGGCCATTTTCTCACTTATTTTAGCTCTGAAATCAGACGACCCCCACCTCATTCAATCATTAATATCTTTACTTCTATTCAAGATAGATGGGTATTTTTAAAATCAAAAGCAAGACAAATGTACAAGCTTTTAGAAAGAAACCAATAACTCCATATGCCCAAAAGTTGACGAGCGCCTGAATCCACCGCATCATCACACATTTGGTAAACATAATCATAATTGTCATTCATGTCAATAGAGGCAATCTTTGTGATTTTGTTTTATTATGGTTTCCCAACAACTTTAGCTATATGAAAATTCCATCCAGAATGTCTTAATGCTTTGATATATATATAGGCATGTTTGCATTCACCAGCATTTATTGCTTGTCTCAGTCCAGTTTATTTCTTCTTTGAATACCAAGAAGAGACACTCTGAAGGCCAGCTATCACTCAAGTCATCAAAACACAACTGGGTTTGTTGTTTTTTTAATTGAAATTATTCTGATAAAGAATGGACAAGCTTTACAGATCATGGGCCACCACTTTTACTGAGCCAAAAGCAGCAAAAGGCAGCACCTTTTAAATCTGGACTTAATGCGCCAGAGAGCCTAACTTTTCTTTTATTAACAAAATGCAAAATTCTGCATTGCTACTATCAAATGATTAACTAAAGGACACTTTGACCTAAATTTTTGACAAAGTTTTGTAGACTTTGTCTAAGCTCCAGTATACTGACAAATATTGTCAATTTTTCAAACTTTTGTGTGGCATCTTGGTGAAACTAGGTGCTCATTAAGGTGGTATTGAAAGCAAAGAAACTGACGTTTATTCGTCCATTGGGCAATTTTTATCGAAATTTTGGGGGGCATATTTCATTATATGGCACGTGTTCACAATATGCGTGTTAGACTGTATTTGTTTGTTGTAAGTCAGTGGGGTTTTTTCTTCTTCATGCTGATTTAAAAGATTTTATAAACCTGATAAAAAATAAGTGTATTTTTAGAATACACCCTACAATATTCAAACATTGAAAAATAGAAAAGTTCTAGCGTGTTTAGCAAAAATGTTTAACATAGAGGAAAATATTCTTTAAAATTGCAAACCACCTTATTAACTATTTCCCTGTGAACAGGTATTCTCATTTCAACATGACCTATTTCTAGATTGTCAGTGTGTGCATAAGGTCATATGAGGGCGCGGGACTCATTAAACTTTTTCAGTTGGTAGGAAATTTTGAATTTTGCCAGAGTGGCGGCCGAAACCTACTCTTATCGATTTTAGACCACCAAAGGATCTGTAACGTGCGCCACTTGCACATGGGCTCTCCGAGATTTTTCGCCCTTGTCCGAGAAGGCTAGGTGTAGACCTTTCCTACCAGAAGATCAGGGGTGTGGCTTAAAGATAGCAGTAAGGAGCCAAGGAGTAGCAGTAGAAAGGCTGCAGAAAGAGTCAGGAGCACAGCGGAGGGGGCAAAGGAGGTGAGGGGGTGGGGACAGAAAGGGGAGACGAAAGCAGACGACAGAACATTGCTAGAGAGCAGGAAAGGAGGTGAAAGGAGACAATTTTAGAGAAGAAAATTTTTCGGTGGCTACCCGGATTCGAATCCAGGACCTTTGAATGAGAGGCCAACACCTTAACCTCTAGGCCTCGAGAGCTCCCCAGTGTGTGTCTACAAACACTTGAAATGGTAAGTTGGAGGGAAAGAGTTTAAGTCACTATACTTTTATCAGGGGCGGCGGGAAACAGAGGAAGAACTTGATTTTGAATCAGTGTGAGAAAAATGGAAGGTGATGATCCTGATCAGTTCCTGCTGCTACTGTCTTTTTCGCAACCCGGCTTTGCCATAGAACAGTTCCAGTATGTCTTTGTTTTTTAATTTATGATGAATGCTAATGCATGTAAATTGTAAATATATGCAATTTTTCTTTGTTTTTCGTCCATCTGTATTATCAAGGGAGAATTAGATTTGTTTCTATTGCATAATATATGTTCTATGACCTGACCTTTTTGTGGCAATTTCCAAGTTTTTAAAATGAGATTGCAGGGAGAGTGACTTAAAGTAAGTACGACATAGCATTACTACCAGGTGTATCAAGGGAATTATAAATTATGCATTTTCATTTGTGTCCTATGCTCTTCGCCGTAGTATTTGTTGGCCTTCTGAGATTTTGATGTGTTTTGTGTTTCGACTACCATTTGGAAAGATTGCTGAGATAATATATGTTGTATACACATAGTAGTTGGTATAAGTTCACTGTGGGGCCACTTCCTCTTTTGTCAACAATCTGAACAGCATTATGTACTGAACTTGCCCAGACATTATGTAATGAGAGTTTGACCTATGGCTTAATTTTTTTTAAAATTAAATTTTAAAAATGAATTTTTTGTTTTGTTTTGGTGTTGGGGGGACAGGGGGTATAAAAGACCTCATACTGCTCCATTGAATGTTTCTTCCCTTATATAAATAGCTTTGCATTTGGTGTGATTTAGAGTAGAGCTGAGTTTTACTTACATGATACATAAATTTATTACTGCTGAGTTCTGAATGGTAAAGGTGACACAAATCACAATTTTTACCAGCACAACCACATGATTTTCATTTCAGTGATCTTTTAAACAACGAAGTCAGTAGTTGAGCTGGATTACACTTACAAACTAAAATATTAGTAAGTTTCCCCCATTTAAAAGTTTCCTAACGGGTACTCATTAAGGGGGCAGTATCACTGTGTAAAGGGTCACGGTCTGTAAAAATGCTTACAAAAATTTTTAAAAAAAATAGAAACTAGCCATTACCTGTATTACCTGTCCTGGGCAACAGCGTCATTGCATACTGGTAACAAGCCATTTAATCAGTGAAAGTATAACTAAATTCTCTATCCCTGAAATGGGATTTTAATCATGTGTCATATACAATATTTTTCCATGAATGAGAGGTCAAAATTAATTTTAAAATTTTGTTTTTATATGCAGTCGGGCAAGGATAACTCAAAACACATCAGAGACAGACAATTGTGTTTGATACATCCATAATTTATGTCAACCAATATAACGAAATATTAAAGAGAGATCTGTCGCTGAATGGCAAATTGTAAGAGCTATCCATGATTTCTAGTTTTCTGTGTTTGTATTATCTGTGCCTGACTGTATGAAATAAAATCATAAGTCGTGAGTGATTCATAATTTTTCACAATTAAAAAAAGATATTGAATTCACATTAGACATTCATGCATAAAAGAGCAGTATAAAATTGTATAATGAAATTGTACTAAAGTAATTGAGATGTCTTCCATATATATATATATATATATATATATATATATATATATAGTTATCTGAATGACCATTGAAAATGAGCAAAAAAATGTTTTTGTATTTTCAAATTTTAGTGGGAAATAATGTTGTCAATTTTCAAAATATATCAAAACTTTTAGTGCTGTTGAAGCACAATTATGTTGTTAGTGAGCAGACCAAGTTTCATGTAAATTGATTATAGATTTTTAAGTTTGGTGAACACAGTGATTGTACGTACCGTACTGATTTCAAGAGACAATTGTATGTGAATTTTTTTTTAGAAAAATAAAAATTCTCTCTATCTTATATTCTAAAAGTGATTGTTGTTGAAAAAAATAGTTGATAAAAAAAACAACTACAAAAGAGAATTTAAAATTTCAAAAAGTACTATTCACTACAATGACTGCTAAAATAAGTTTTACAACAGCATAAAATTCGTGGTTTCGTACTATTGGCATTTAAAAAAAAAAAAATTTTGATATGATGTCGATGTGTTTGTTTGTCAGGGAGCTGTTCACAGAGGGTCATGCGGCCTCTGTAATAATAAATAGTTTTCTCTGTACATAGAAAAATCAAATTTAAAAAAATCAGGCATGTGTACCTTCCATGAATGAAGTATTGGGGTCAGGGGTAATTTATACATTTTGTGTGCTTTTTGCCACTGGTTTGCAAGGCTTTTATGTGCATTAGACTAGATAGACTATGTATATTTTGTTTGACTTTTCCAACCTTGATTCGTGAATTTCTCTTTTGCAAAAGGGCTTTGATGTTGCAAATCATGAAATGTTTGTGATTGTGCTATTTGGCAGACTTGAAAAAATTCTAAGCAGTATCAATATAAATATGTAAAATAATTTTTCTCACTTAATTTCTTTATAATGTCATTTATTCACTGATGCTGTAAAAATGTATCTTTGGCCCCATACTTCTTATTAAAATATCATTGTCAATGATGTGCTTTGTTTGATTGTAAATGTTTTAACATCTCCATTGACTCAATTTAGAATAATTTAGGAAGCAGACTTCTTCAATCCTGCCTGTGTGAGTGTCAACCTGATGATACATCATCTCCCCATATAAGAAAAGATATCCAATGAAACATTTTGATGCATTCTTCCAGTGTATTAGTATAATACTTTGTTTCAGTGTTCATTAACGCAGAAAATAAAAAAAAGGAGTCTAGGTTCTTAAAATGAGTCTGCTATTTTTACTCAAACTCAAAATTCTCAAATTCAAGCTATGAAAATATTTTTTATCAAAGAGTTGAGTTTTAAAAAAAAAAGTGTGCAAATTTTTCCTCATGTGTACTATGATTTTCTAGGAATGTTATCAATCTATGTCTTGTCTCAATTTTTGCATGCGAACTGTTTCTACACTTTACAGCTGTGTTATTTTATTTCTGTGCGGTTTTTGTCTTTTCACTCCAAGCTGAGTTGCCCATAGCTCCTCCAAGGAACAGACGAGTCATAGATCTACATAGACCCACTATATTCTAGTTGTAGGTGCTACCCATCAATGGCACA